TTATTATTATTATTATTACCTCAAAACAGCGCTTCTCCAAGCCTTATCGATACACCAGAATACCGTCTTCAATGAGTTAGTCTAAGGGATCTATTACACGTTGCTGGAATTTTTAAGATCACAAAAAAGAAGTATTTTTGCTGAGATTTCATCCTGTGTCATTTTCTTATCACAAAGAGGACGGACAACTGTCAGTTTTTAGCTGAACGTGTAATAAAGACTTAAATGTCAATGAAACTCAACTGTTTGATTTACACTCTCGTTTTCATTCCTTTCAGGGCAGAGAGGACGTGGTGGAGCAGATCCACGAGTATGTGATAGGAGACAACAAGCTTCCCCTCGTGTTGTGGGGAGAGAGTGGCTGTGGGAAGACCTCTCTCATGGCCAAGGCAGCCAGCCAGGTAAAGCAAGCGGAGTGTTGTGATAAGCCGCACACACCGAGATAATTATGTTTTCATTGCTGTTTATAGCCACTGCTCTTGGAATAATTTTCACCTACCCTGTTTTCGGGATTAACGGGCGGGTTGCTGAAAAAGGTGTGCAAGCATTTTCTTGTTGGAACCACTTACACTGGAGTATAACCATTTTTAGCAAAGGCTATTATGCAGGGTTTTTTAAATGACCTCTGTCGTTTTGACGATACGTTATTCCACTCTAGACTACATGTATATTATGTGACCACTCTGGTTTCAAACAATGTTGAAGATAAGAGTGGTAAAGCAGTACTGTTGTTATTTTGATAGGAGCGAGGGGTGGGGGTTCTTCTGGTGTTTGTTTTTTCTTTTGTGGGTCTTAAGAGCTCCAAAGCCGGTATGTGAAGCCAGCTTCTTTGGACTGTTTCTTTTTCTTTCCTTGGGGTTTGTCTATCCTTTTGTCTGTGTTTCTCTTTGTCTGTCTGTCTGTCTGTCTGTGTCTGTCTGTCTGTCTTTATCTCTGTGTGTTTGTCGGTGTGCGTGTGTGCGCGCGCGTGTGTGTTTCTATGTGTGTGTGTATGTGTTTGTGTGTGTGTGTGTGTGTGTGTGTGTGTGTGTGTGTATGTGTGTGTGCGCGCGCGCGTGCATGCACGCGAATTTATGTGCCCACGTGCGTGTTTACTTTCTCCTAATAGTCCTAACCTTAGACTGTGTCTCCTCACAGGTAGTGACGTCCTGGTTCTCCACTCCTGTGGTGATGGCCTTGAGGTTCCTGGGCACGACCCCCGGCAGCAGCACCATTATTCCGCTCCTCACCTCCTACTGCCAGCAGCTCAGCAAGATGTACGATCAGCCCATGGACGAGATCCCAGACGAGCTGGCCCCACTACAGCAACACTTCAAGAAGCTTATCAACCTTGCCTCAGCAGAAATGCCCCTCGTGCTCTTCTTTGACTCTCTTGACCAGTTGTCTGGGGCTGATGGCGCTCACAACTTGACTTGGATGCCCATCAGATTGCCGGATCACGTCAAAGTCATCATCTCTGTGTTGCCAAATTACTACGGCCTCCTGGATTTGCTGAGGGTGATGATCGAGAACGAGGATTCCTTCATCCAGGTCCTCCCGCTAGGGCAAAATCTTGGTGGCACCATAATCAGGGCGTGGCTGGACAAAGGCAACAAGGCGGTCACGGAGGAGCAATGGGCTCTGGTGAATGAAGCAATCAGCAAGTGCAATCTTCCCCTGTTCGTTAAATTGACGTTTGACGAGATCTGTCGCTGGCGTTCGTACACCAAGCCGAGCCAGACGACCCTAGCGTTTACTATCCATGACTGCATCATGTTACTCTTTGAAAGGATTGAACTGCAGCACGGCAAAACGCTGGTGTCACACGCTCTCGGCTACATCACTGCCTCAAAGAGCGGTGTATCGGAGCCAGAATTGGAAGATCTCATTTCTCTTGATGACAAAGTGCTCAATGACATTTACCAGTACCATCTACCGCCCGTGAGGAGGATCCCACCTCTTCTGTGGACCAGGATTAGAAATGATCTCCCAGGCTATCTGAGCGAACGGGAGGCGGATGGTGTCAGTGTGATAGGATGGTACCACAGACAGTTCATTGACGCAGCCAAAGAGAGGTACTTTCGTAACCTCAACTTCGCCAGCACAATCCACTCAAACACAGCTGAGTACTTCTTAGGGATATATGGAGGAGGCATCCCCAAACCCTTTGAATATTCAGATCTGCAGAGACAACGATTCCACTTGGAAGATAAACAAGGCTCCGAAGATAGAAAAGTGCCTCCTCAACCTTTAGAGTTTCTCGACTCCAAAGGAAAAGTCATCAGACACAATCTGCGTAAACTTAGTGAGATGCCCTACCATCTGATTCGCTCCCACCGCTTCGAAGATCTTTACGACAAGGTCATATTCAACTACAACTGGCTTCACGCAAAGCTCTCCTCCATGCCGCTGCAGTCGGTGGTCGCAGACTTTGAGGACTTGTTGAACCACGTCTACGACAAAGACGTACGGGTGATCGCAGACGCAATTCGTTTGTCCAGCTCCATTCTCAGCCACTATCCTGACATGGTGGGTCCCCAGATCACAGGACGCTTGTTGCCTTACTACAGCCAGAACCCCAAAATCCGAGGCTTGATACAACAATGTGACTCCGATGGACTCCGTCACTGCGCTCTGGTCTCGGCCTATCATTGCCTACACACACCCAGTGGGCCTCTCCAGTACTCCCTAGAGGGCCATCAGTTTGCTCCCTTCGGCATTCAGACGCCAGCGGATGGTAAAAATTTAGTGTCCGTCTCAAACAAAATCATCATGTGGGACTTAGCAACTGGAGAAATTTCCAGAAACATAACACCCGGGATAGAAGGCATCATGCAAAACTTGAATATCTCTCCAAATGGTAAATTTGCAGTCAGTTACACAAACAATAATCAAGTGGTGGTCTGTGCCCTCAACACCGGTGACTTTAAAATAATTTCTCCAAATGTACCCAAAACTCCGGACTCTATCAAAGGGACAAGTGTCTCGAACACACACATCGCAGTGTGGACAGAGCAGACCTCCTGGCTTCTCTACGCCATGGATGGCTCATTTGTCAGTGAATTCAAGTCAGAACTCAAAATGCCTGTCCTAAACGTGGACCTCAACTTTGTTAATGATGGTCCGTACTACACCATCGTCAAGTCGGGGGCGGAAACTGATACAGAAATGGCATTAGAGGTTCATGACCAATCGGTTGATGCCTTTGAATTCCACAGCGCCATTGCTATCAACAGCGCCAAGACTGTTCTCTACACATGCATAGAGATCAGCGACAATGCCGTGGCCGTGTACAAGAGAGAAGGTAATTCCTGGAAGTACAACCGTACACTGGGAGATAATGTGGACATCATGTTCTCCTTCTGTCTATCTGAGGATGAGCACTATCTCATCGGAACTGTAGCTCTTGGGTACAAGCTGTACGACCTCCACACAGACAAGATGAGAGAACTGAAGCTTCCCCACGGGACTCGCAACATTCCTACAAAGAACCAGCTGACTAGCTTGGTGGTGTTCACCAAGAACAATCAGTTTGTGGTGGCAGGGGTCCGGAAGAACCTCTACGTGTGGGACGTGAAGCAGGGCAACATGGTCAAAGTACTCGACGCTCATTTCGGTAGAATCTGCGCTCTAACCTCTGTCACAACAGGAAGAAATGCTGTCATTTCGTCTTCGATGGATAAGACAATTAAAGTGTGGAACTTTGACAAGATTCTTGAGGATGTGCATCCGATTGACCGACTAGAGCGTCCGATCGAGACCATTGCCTTGGCGTCAGAGTCGCCTCTGTGTGCAACCACTACGAGAAACACCGTGGCCATCTGGAATCTGGAGACTGGCAGGCTCGTCAAGACGTTTGTCGGCAACGCTCGCAGTGCAATAGTGTCGCATGCAGTGATCACAGCCGACGGCGAGTATGTGGTCAGTGCTGAGTCGCCAAAACTTCTCATCTGGGACATCTCCAAGGAAGAAGCACCGTTAGTGGAGTACTCGGTCGGGGATATCCAGAGCATTGTTCTCACAGAAGAAGACACGAAAGTTGTTGTAGCTGCGAAACTCCCTGGGGGGAAAGGTCAGTGTGTGTGTTTGACAGTCCCAGAAGGACAGGAGGTTTACAAGTTTGAATACGTCGTGAAAAAATTCCGCAACCCTGTAATCACCAAGGAAGGGCTGTATCTGGCTGTTCCTTCCTCTGATAAGAGTGGTGACGTCATCGGGGTCTATCACGCAAAAACCGGCGCTCGGATGTACAATCTACAGTTGAAGTACCAAAACTACGTCGAGTACACCCATCTTGTCGCTATGCCGCATGACCCGACATGGGTTGCAGTGGTTGATCCGGACAAAGGAAATATCTTGGACTTGAAGAAAAAAGCCTTGGTGCGGGCTGTGCCTCGCTGGAACGGACAGGCGATGCAGGACGGTAAGATCGGCCTGTACGCACCAGCGCGGGGAGGACTTGAGCTCATCAATTTGAAGAGCACAAAAACAACGAAAGTTCTCATCCCTAAGGTAGCCGAAGGCGTCTTTCAGGTCACTGCGTTTTTCACTCAGAACGACAAGCACGTTGTTTACTATCACTCCCGGCACCGCACGCTTCGCTTGTTCCGCATCTCTGACGGCAAGATGCTAGCCAACTACAAAACGAGTGCTGAAGTAAAGGCAATCGAGGGTAACGAACAGGGAACGTGTATTGTGATTGGTTGTCTGGATGGAAGCCTCACAGCTCTGGCTGTGGCTGACCCCGAGGACGAGAACTGCCAAGAAATGCTCGAGTCGCTACCGAGCAGAAACCTGACCAGGAAGTTGTCCACGAAGGAAGGGGATGACGCAGATGCAGACGGTGACCTCCTCAATGCCAAGAACCCGATGGGAGCAGCACTGCAAGTGGCCAGATTTGTGGCCAAAGCTAGAGGCGTACAAAAGTCACGAGCGTGTGTGATATCTTAGATACGTTTAGAGACTTTTCCAACACCTTGTTCAGAACGAAGAATGGTCTGAAGAGGGCGTATACGGCAACAAGAAAGCGACAGCGCAACATACAGGGTCGACAACAACAATAACAACAACAACAACAATGTATTGTATTTTTGTTAGGAAAACAATAAGCCAGGCCAGTACGCCATTATCCCGAAGAAAAGATTGTCAGACAATATTCAAAAGATTGACAAGAGAAAAAAAGAGGACCTATACCGAAGCTTTGGAAAATACCAGTGAAAAATAGCCACAAACGTTAATGAAACAGCACTGCTTGCCTTAGCAATAATGCAAATTTCGTAGAACATTGAGTTGAAAACAGCACACCCTAGGCTATTTTTAGCTCTCCTTCAAAGTCACGGGCATCCCCCAACCCCTAAAAAAACCCCATAAAAATAGTAACACCAGTGCATGCGTAAAGAGCACCACTTTTCAAACCATTTCAAGAATGTTATTGAATGTATTATGCGGGTGTTGGTGACTTGCAAAGTTGAATGAAAAAGAATGCAGTAGACAAACATACCTGCTGTTTTCAATGGATGAAAGAAAACAATTAATCTGAACCTGTGACAATTCCAATCATAAAATGAAATATATAAATAGGATTCGAAGGAAACGAGCTAACAGACAGCTGAGGCAGTGGCGTGAGAGACTGGACTGGGTCCTCGGTTGGGCCAACGAGAGACGTCCCCCAGTACCCACTTAGCACACTGGCGCCTGCTGCCGTACGCAGAAGACCTGAGTTCGATTCATGTGTGGAAGAAATGTTTATGGAGCACGTCGGTCTTTCTGTTGGAGGTATATACCCCTCTCACCCCGGGTTGGCCCTCACAGGCAGGTTTGAAGCCCGCCTCCTAAAAGATCTGAAATGTGTCGGTGGATGCGTAAAAGCACCACTAAACGCAAAAGTATGGGGGGGGGGGGGGGGCATTGTAAACAAAAAAGGTTGCCACCGAGGTAGATACTACCATAGTGGTTAAGGGTTTGGGGAGGTTGGGAAAGGAGGGGGTCTTAGAATCTTCTACTGTGTTATGATTTCCTGCCATTATTGTTTTGTAAAGTGTTACTGTGATGATTTGCTTTGTGATCACCTCAGTGCTGTGAGAGGGGCTGTGGCACACGAGTGCCGAGTCATGGGCTCCCTATAAACATGATACCGCTTTCAGCTTTGCTGTTGTAGGCCTACTATGCAGACTTAATTGGTTTTCCTATGGATTTTGTACCTGGCAATTTTATTATGACAATGCAATTTCATTCTCATCAACAACGCGTGTTTCTCATCTTGTATTGATATCGTGTTTTATTAAACATCCGCGGCTATGAAAATAAGAAGGAGCGAGAGAGAGAGAGAGGGGGGGGGGGGGGGGGGGGGACGCGGTGACATGATGATTTGTTCTTATTTTGTTGGTTGGGGTTGTGGATGCTTTTAAAGAAATAAATGAAAGTTGAACGGATTATGAATATCACGAGAGACGTGAGAGAGAGAGAGAGAGAGAGAGAGAGAGAGAGAGAGAGAGAGAGAGAGAGAGAGAAAGATAGATAGAAAGATAGAAAGAGAGAGAGAGAGAGAGAGATAGATAGAAAGAGAGAGAGAGAGAGAGAGAGAGATAGACAGACAGACAGACAGACAGACAGACAGACAGACAGACAGACAGACAGACAGACAGACAGACAGACAGACAGACAGACAGACGGGGAAACAATACCTCTTCCGTGTGTGATTGTAGGTCTGTATTTTATCAATAGACCTACTTCGTGTGTTTTGTAAATGTGCAAGTCCTACCTGTCAAAAAACTACCGTCAGGTTATTTAAAAGGACAGACCTCTGAAATTAGCATACGTTTTTAAAGGACAAGCGGTCAAACCCAGATTCCGGGGGTTTCCAGAAATCTTGACCTACACCAAAAGTGGGCATTGTCCTACCTATAGGAAAAGTTTGGTTTCATTGATGTGTTGGTTATTGGGAAAATTCTCCTTGTCTTTTAAAGAAACTTTACCTTCGATTTTCTCAGAAGAGCGTTTTTCGGGATAGCCCCCTTGTGCCTAAAAGTGACCGATTCCCAACGCTACTTTCCTTGTTATTTTTTTTACACCTGAAAAAATCTTGCTCTTTGGCAGTTTTCCGGCCTTGACAGGTAACCACGACTCGGCGCTGTTTAGGGTTGCCTCATTCGTTCTGGGAAACGTTTTGGGAGTTATTTTTTATGTGTGTGTTGCCTCGAACAAGAAAAGGCACGGCGAACAACAATTCCAGCCAACGTCCGAAGTCTCAACTATTGTCACTGTACACGGGAGAAAATCCCAGACCTAGAATTTTTCAACAGTTCTCTAAACTATAGCAATGTATAATAATGTAGTCAGAAATCTATCTGCTGTTTAATTATATTTTTTACTCAAGAGGCATTGATTTTTTTTAAAATATGAATCAAGAGACTAGTTGTCTTTAATCATTTCCGAACATTAGAATATTGCCCTGAATTGTCAATATATTCCCTTGGATTAATGTTTCTCACTTCTTATCGGCGCCACTTTTTTTTTTTTTTTTTTTTTCTTTAACGTTCACCTTGTGCTCAGACCTATTCTATACACCCTTATACATATGCATGTATCACATAGGGTAATTTCTTTCGTCCAAGTTTGTACATTTGCACTGGTTTGTTATATTGCCGGTACTGATTCCATCGGAAGTCAAAACTAAATGACTGTGGACCTGCGAAATGTCTAACCAGAGGAACTTTTCATTGCAAATACCTGTCCCCCCTTGTGACTTTCAGAAAGTGAATGGATATTGGCATAAATAAGAAGTAGTAAGTCAGAGGACAAAATTAATTTTGTATCATAAGTCCAAAGTAGCACCTATCAATTTAGCCCATAAAAATGTGCTCAAGTATTTCTTTTAATTTGAGATACTTGTAGTATATGAGTGTCCTGTTAATGGCAACTAGAAGGTGAAGATCTAGTTTTCTTCGATGACACTTTTAGCACTTCGTGTAAAAAGACGGTGATTTAGCTAAGCATACACACACAACCATCATACGTATACACGCCCCCCC